ACTGGCCCTAAGTGGCACCCATTTTGGCACTGGGGATGGGTACTCCTTCCTGTAAGCAGTGTGTTTCCCACTGCACTGGCAAACTGTATATGGGATATATATATATATTTTTTTTTTGGTTTTTCTCCGGTACCGGGAACCGAACTCACGACCTTGCGCTTGCCAGGCAGGTGCTTTTGCCGCTGAGCTAAATCCCCAGCCCCTATCATGAGATCTTGAATCTGTTCTCATCTCAAGGGCATCCCTTTGGGAGGGATGAGAATCTTTCTTGGCTAAGGGAAGATGCTGTGTTTCGACGTGGTTGGTCCCTCAGAGCTTGTATACTGGAAGCTTCATCCCCACTGTAGAGAATCTGAAGAAACCTTTGAGAGCCGGTGCTAAGTGCAAGGTAATTAGCTTGAGTGTGCACTGCCCTTGGAAGGGACTGACATGGATCTCACACAGAGAGTTAGCTCTCATGGAGGCAGGTTGTTATTTTTTGTTGTTGTTACCCGGAATCGAACTCAGGACCTTACACTTGCCCGGCAGGCGCTTGTGCCACTGAGCTATATCCCCGGCCTGAGGCAGGTTGTTATCAAGCAAAATATTCCACATGCTTGGGCCCTTCTGCCTGTGGCCAGTTTCCTTTCCATTTCTCTGCCACGTTGTGACCCAGCTGAGGGCACCCGCACCAGAGGCTGAGCAGGTAAGGTAACCCGATCTTGGACTTTCAGCTTCCAGCACTGTGAGCTAAATAAATGTCTTCTAAGTATCCAGACTGCAGTATTTTGTTAAGTGAAATGTACAGAGAGAAATTCATATTTATGATACAGAGTGTGGAGTGTTGCTGGCTGTATTCTTTCTAATTATTTGTTTCCTTTCTTTGTGAAAGTAGTATAAAAAAGGTGATGGAAAGAATACAGTGTGTATTTAAATGAAAAATAAATGTCAGTAAGACACACTGTCATTAATCCCCATCCAAACATTCTCCCTGGCTTGGAAGACATTTGCCCCATCATTCTCGCCACTTTCTGAAGCAGGTCTGGAAGTCCTCTTTCCTTTCCTGGGTGTCTTTATAAGGTGTGATTAAAAAATGCGAAGAATGCTACTGCCAAGTGCCACCCCACAGAAAGGTCGTCTCCTAAAGATTTGGCTGTGTGTCCTCATCAAGCTTGTTCACCAGATCTGGCACCTTGTGACTTCTGGCTCTTCCCCAAAGTAAAACGATTATGAAAGGGGAACGTTTTGAATGGGTTCAGGATGTTAAGGCAGCCATGGCAATGAAACTTAAGACACTCACAAAAGGGAACTTCCAGGGATGTTTCAGAAAGCGGCAGGGATGGTGGGATAAGTGTGTTCAAAGTCAGGGAGATTCCTGGCAATGTGTCTTTTACTGCCATACATTTAAAAAAACCTTTAACATTGACCATATTTTTCTTTATCACATATCGTATCTCCCCGCTCGTTGACACTAGGCTTTGGTCCATTAAATCAGAGTAAAAGTGACATAGGGTATCAATGACAGTAAAAAGAAATACTTTGAAGTCATTGCATATCCTGCCATTTATTTTTCTTCTACCACAAAACACTTATACCGCATAGGGCCGCCTCCTCCTAAGTCCTGGAATGAATATTACACGAACAGATTCTCAGCCAATCTACAAAGATTCAAAGGAGAAATAAACCCCTGTTGCTAGCCACTAAGACTCTGGCCTTTCTTTAGTATAACTTAGCCAAGGATGACCACGATTCAATGTTGTAAGATATTCTGGAAGATGACGAAAGAAAATTTGAGACACTTTTCTTTCCCTGCTTTCTTTGTAATCAATTCTTACCTTGCTTTAAGTATGCATCTTGTTCTAAAACATTAAACTGGGCTCCTGAAAAAGCCATTAGTATGAGTAAGAGCAACTGAAGAGGAGGTATAAAGTAGACTTGCTTCCTGCATTACAGTTTAATGGCCATGTGGGTGAATTTGACACACACTTAGGTACAATGAATCGAGGGGGTAATCTCCAATGTATAAATAAATATAAATATATAAATATAAGTTAAGTGAGGATTGTGGTGTCAGCCTGGTTGTAGGCTGGGAAAATACAGGGGAGAGTGATTCAGAGATAAGAAAACTGATTCCCCCAGCCATGATCAAACACGGAGAGTGAGAAAATGAGTATCCATTTCCTGGAAGACCAGTTGAAGAGCTGGAGTGCTTAGGAAATCTGAGGACAGTGGC